ACCAGTGAAGACCTTGGATTAACTAACAGTAACTGGCCAGTTTGGGGCTTGAACCCATGACCTTTGCATTATTAGCATGTAAAGAGTGGAAAACAGTCCATCCCAAGTACATTTTGTGAAGAAGCAGGGAGTCAAACCTTTGGATCAAACAGGAAATGGCCAGTATGGGGCTTGACCCTCCATTTAAAGAGTGGAAAACAGAAAACAAGACTTTCCAAGACCACTTGACCTCCTGATTTCCTGTTCTGATGTGAGGATGCTGCATTTCTGCCTCTCTCTACCAGGATCCTTCTTTTTCCTTCGACCTTTGACCTCTTGGCCCTATAGTGTTCTGGTCACACCGGCAGCCAATCTGTGTTTAATCATCTCCAGATTTAAAACTTTACTAAAGAAAAGGCCAACCGGGCCCACCCCGAAGCTTCAGCCTTCATATTCACGGGAATTTCGGACCAAAGTCTTTGCAGACCGACACGTTTTCAGTCCAGATGAACGACGCCGTTCTTTTTTGGGCCCAATAAAAACGTCCAATATCGCAGATCACCTGCATGGACACACCTGATAAGGAGACCAGAACGCTTTGGAACAAGATTAATTTTATTCATGAACATGCATGATTCATTTTTACATCAAAATATTCCTGTACAGAGTCCAGGATCTTCACCAAATATCGATTCATATTTATCTATATCTATTTAGCTCGCTATTGCTGTTACATGTGCAGATTCTCTGGATTTAATTAACATTTTTTGTTTATTTCTATGATAGATACAGTGCCATTCAGGTTTATGTCTCTATAAATTTAGATAATCAGAGACTTTCTTTATAATTTGAATTGTTGCGTTTAATTACATCGCATTTGACACTTTCCTGCAAACACAGTTAGAGCAGTGTGAATAAATCGGCTTTGACGGAGAAAGAAAGGTGAAAATTTCCAGTCAATCCTGGTCTGTGAGCTCAGTGGGTTTTCCCCTGTTTCCACTCTGCTTTTCTGTGCTCACGGAGCTGTTTATTTAGCACTTTTCTGTCCGTTTGTCGGCCTGATTGTGGTCTGAGAGGCGGCGTGTTTATCTGGGTGAACAAACCACAGACGCCCACTCAGAAAAAGCTCCTCCGGCCTCCTCGGGCCGCTACACCACCGTTTCCATGACGACCCGGGCCCCGCCTCTCTGGCCTTTGACCTCCTGAGCAGCTGAAAGACGCAGAGAAAAAACGTTTCACACCTGCAAAGCTGTACTTCCCCTCCCCTCTTAACAGGAAGTAAGACATATTTAACATTTAGCTAGCCCAAACCACCTCTCATCCTGTTTTCACTGAGTTTAACTGAGGTTTTAAGCTAAGCAGGGCACCTAAAACAGCTTTACCTAAAACAATCTATCATTATTTTGTCCTTTTTTTCTTTGTTTCACAGGCTTCCCTTTAGTTTGACAGTGTCTTTATTACTCAGTATTGTGAGAAAGGAAGTAGAAGAAGGAGCCAGACTGAGGGAAGTGAGGAGAAAACTAAAGTTTAATCCATTGCTCATGTGAGTAGAGAGGATTTAGAATCAGAAAGGGAATAAAGAAGCTGTTATCTGTCATTCTGAGCCACTTTGCAAGCTGTTTCCATTCAGTTTGTCAGATTTGATGACGGCTACAAAGGCTAAAAAGGCTAAAAAGGCTACAAAATAAAAACAAGGAAGGGCCTTTTAAGGCCCATTTGCATTGGAGCCTGTAGGGAGAGAGTTCAAAGGTCAACTCCACCTTTCATCCTGTCCCTGCACACGAGTCCTAACAGGATGGTGGACAGCAGGTAGGGCACCCCCACCACCAGGTGACACACCAGCCTGAGGCGGGAAAAGCTCTCCGGGGCCTCGGCAGGAGCTGAAGACGGCGGGAAAACAGAAGTGTTCAGAAAAAAAACAGAATCTTTAAAACCAGACGGAAAAACTCTGACTGTCTGTGAGGAAAAAAAAACATACGAAAGAGAAAAAAGATCTAAAAAAGCTAGTCAGGCTCCTCCTTTTTGCCCAAATATGGTCGTTTCTGACTTTAGATGGACCAAATCTGGTTCGGCTCCTGTGTTTTTTTATTGTTCATGTCTGGACTGGAAAACATGGCATATACATGACATAAAAGCATATAAATGTTCAGCAATGTCTCGAATTATGGACATTTTGGGGAGTGGAAGCAGCTTTTTCCCAGAAATGAAGGGACAGGAGGTGAATAGGAATACCTGGAGGGGAGCTTGGCCCGTTTTCCTCCTCTGCAGAGTCACTGTTTGTTGCTTTTTGCTGCTCTGAGTGAAGAGCAGAGACAAGTCAGAGCAATATTTCAGGTTTGAGAGCAGGGGACTCGAACCCTGGTCCTCGGTTGGATGCTGCCCAGCAGGTTTCAGACACCAAAACATCTCAAACCTGACGGGCAGTGGCTCAAAAAGGACGTAAATCTCTGCTTTTTTTCCACCACAAGAAACCAAAAAACCTCTAATGTTCATACAAAGGATGCTCCACTCTCCTTTCAGCGAATCCTGGAGGATTTTCCAGGTTGACTTAAAGGAGACATATTACATCCTATTTCAACAAGTTAAGCTAGTTCCCTGGTGTCCTAATGTAATGTCTGTGACAAGCTTTGGTCAGAATCCCATAAGGATGAAGCCCAATAGCAGTTCAATCCCCCTGCCTAACCCTAACCCTAACCCTAACCCTAACCCTAACCCCTGCCAAAACAGCCCCGTTCAGAGCGCTCGCTTTGGAGTGCCTGTCTCTTTAAATGCAAATGAGACACAGGCAATCCACCCACTTCTTCCGGGAGGTGTGCCCACGTCGGCACGCTAACACTACCATGCTAACGCTACCATGTTAAGGCTACCATGTTAACGCTACCATGCTAACGCTACCATGTTAACGCTACCATGTTAACGCTACCATGTTAACGCTACCATGCTAACGCTACCATGACAACAGATCAACGTGAACTCTGGGATAAACATGGCAGCCGGAGAAAACTTTTCTTATATGTTTAAACCAGAGTCAAACCCTGAACAAGAAGGAGCTAGCCACGTCGGCACGCCAACGCTACCATGCTAACGCTCACGCTACCACGACGTCTCCACAGATAGGGGAGTAAGCTGAGGGGGGGGCAACATGCAGGTGAAAGGCTGGAATATTAAAATGAGCTAGATAATATATAATAATATTAATATTATAATAATAATAATATTATAATGAGCTAGAGCTAATGACGTCAGAAACTACCCACTCCTGAAACCTCCTGATTTATCTCCTGGATTCAGACTGAGGCGGCCCACAAAAACATGACTGAGTCATTTTTTTTCACACTTTGCCTGCTTATAGGCCCTCCACAGTCCCAAATGTACATAATGACATGATTAACTCATTGACTGCCAAAGACGTCTATAGACGTCTTTTATGTTTTTCAACGAGAGTGTCTGGGGGACGATCTGCT